ATGGACCCTTTGGTAATGGCACATGAGACTATCTCAGACTTAGCCTTTCTCTTTACCATTTGGTCAACCGAGTTGACTATAGCCGATCCCTTTCCATTGGGAAGAGAAATCTTTTTCTAGATATCCAATGCTACCATTGTCAATATCCATTTAAGACTTGGGGAGTTTTTCTTTTAATTAAATTTGCTTTACTGGTGTTCCAAATCATTGCTGATTCCACAACACCAAGCAAATAAATAACATCATTAAGGGTCGTGTCATAGTCTGTCTCATAGTAGTCCCAAAGAGACTCACTATGTTACTAAGAACGTGAACAATGACCTCGTTCGTTCATTTATGTTCGTGAACGTTCGTTTACGATGTTCATTTACATTTGTTTATGTTCGTTCGGTTAAGTTTATTTATATTCATCTATATTCAATTATTTTTTATTATATTGCTATATTATATGTTCGTTTATGTTCATACATGTTTAATTGTGTTTTTTTATCTTTGTTCGTTTATGTTTGTTCGTTTATGTTCGTTTAGCATGTTCACGAACATAAATGAACGAACATGAACAAAGTAATTTGTTAAACGAACGAACATGAACAAGAAAATCTCGTTCGTTTATTCGTTCGTGTTCGTTTGTTGTTCGGCTAACTTAAACGAACGAACATGAACAAGACCTTGTTCGTGTTCGTTTGGTTCGTTTACAACCCTACATGCAAATAATAACTTCCAAGGTTTCTTCCCAACTAGCATAGCATAAGGATTATGAATCATAAAACTACTAGTAGAAATACATACCTTTTGATGATGGTTGATTGTTTGGAGTTTGAGAGCCAAGCACCAATAGTGTGAATGCCTCAAATGGAATCACAAATCACCACAAACACTTGGAAAACTTTGAGAGAGTAGTATACTTTCTTATGAAATCGATCACCACTAAGTCTCACATAACTAGTAGCATTTCTTTCATCATATGCTTCTTTATATAGTGTGCATAATTACGGTGAAACGCTAATAATCCATGTCTTTTCCTTTCTAGGGATCCATGGGTTAAAAGCTCCATGGATCATCCATGGACTTCCATATTAGCTTATCCCATTAACAAATGAGTATTAGCCCACACTATATAAAATATAATAGCCCATAATTTAATCATTCTTCTTTTTAATCTCTAAATTAATTCATAATTAATTTAAAACTAAAACTAATTAAACAACATGACTTCATATTAATATATTATAACTTATAATATATTAATAAATCGTAAGTTTATAATTCTCATAAAATTATCCATAAATCGTTTGGTTGAAATGCAACCCAAATGGACCATGCTGGGTCGGGTCAAGTATGTACCAAATAAGTTATGGACTTAGACACCTTATCCAACATGTAGTTCCTGAGGATTTTCCTGGAGTGCCTCTCGAGAGGAAAGTTGACTTCCTGATTGATTTAGTCCCCGATGCAGGACCCATCTATGCAGCTTCAGGAGCTGCTAGACAAGAAGCTTATTAGACCGAGTAGTTCGCATAGGGAGCACAGTTCTTGTTCTTGAAAATGTACCGCTCGCATAGGATGTGCATTGACTATTGGGAGTTGAATAAGCCAATGGTGAAGAATTATTACCCACTCCCAAGGATTGATGAATTATTTGACCAGCTTCAAGGTGCATCTTGATTCTCCAATATTGATTTGTGGTCCGATTATCATCAGATGAGGGTCAAAGAGGAGGATGTGCATAAAATGGCCTTCAGAACTCGTTATGGTGATTATGAGTTCGAGGTGATGCCATTCGGGCTCACCAACGAACCATCAGTGTTCATGGATCTCATGAATCAAGTATACAGGCTGATGTTGAATCGATCATTGATTTTGTTTATCGATGATATTCTGGTCTACTCCAAGACCAAGGAGCATAATGAGGAGCACTTGTGAGAGATTTTGGAGACCCTAGGGAGGGAGAGAATGTATTCCAAATTCTCCAAATGAAAATTTTTGTTATGCGAGGTGCAATTATTAGGGCACAATGTCAACCAGAAGGGTATATTGGTCGATCTGGCCAAGATTGAGGATGTGATGAGGTGGGAGGTTCCAAGGATCCCATATGAGATTAAGAGTTTTCTTGGTTTGGTTGGTTACTATCAGAGATTTATTCAAGATTTCTCCAAGATCGTTGTACCATTGACCCATTTGACAAAGAAGAATGTCACTTTTTGATGGAGGCCTGACCCGTAGGAAGCATTTGAGACACTAAGGCAAAGATTATCTGAGGCCTGATTCTCATTCTACCTGAGGGTGTGGATGATTTTGTGGTTTATTGTGACGCGTCTATCTCGGGATTAGGAGATATACTCAAGAAGAGAGGTCACGAGGCAACTGAATCCTCATGAGGTGAATTAACCTACGCACGACTTGGAGTTGGGGGTTGTGGTTTTCACTCTCACAATATGGAGACATTACTTGTATGGGGTTAGGTGCACTATTTACACAAACCACAAGAGCCTAAGATATCTAATGGATAATCCAAATTTGAATATGAGATAGCGAAGATGGTTAGATGTGGTGAAGGATTATGACTATGAGAATTTGTATCACCTTAGAAGTCTAATGTTGTGGCCGATGCCTTGAGCCACAAGGTAGTAAGTGCACCTACTGGAGATATATGTATAATGATGGTTATTGTTGTGATATGTCCTCGACTTAACTCCGTATCTTTGAGGTATGGAAATGAAGGACCTAAGAATCACAACAAATAGAACTAGATCACCAGTCGTCATCTGGGAGGCAATCCTAGAACGAGGCTCCGACGATCAATTCAGTTGGTATCTTAGTAAGAAGGTGAAAAGTGTTAGGTAACAATTTAAGGGTGGTGTTTGTTCGATCCCTTCTCTTGGAGGGGAGGGGACCTTTTTATACCTTTGGTCAGGGGGAAAAATCCTCGACTGTATCTTCTACCTTTTCAGGTTTGGCAGGGATAGATGGCCTTCTATTGGTAGATCATGCTTTGCAAGTGGTTGTTTGCTATTGGTGCACGTTTTATAGGAGCAGCGCCCTGAGCGCTACACCCGTCGCTATGGGAGGAAATTAGTATTGTTTGGTCTTGACGCTGACCTTGGCACTTGGGCACTAAGGAACGATTTCGGGATCGCGAAGGCGAGGGTGAGGACATGGCCTTAGGCATACGTCATCCTTTGCTCAAACAATCTATCAGAATGAAGGTTCCGTTATGTTTGATGTATTCCTAGTGAGATACATTATCAAGTCCTCTAGGATTGTAGATGTCAGCGTTTTGTTAGGGTAGCTGAGTTGTTCCAACTTAGATCTAGACACGCGTTTGGTGGGGATGGCTCTTTGACAACTTCTAATGTGACAGAGGCGTCTACACAGGCTACTTATTTTCCTTTTATTTTTGCTTCCTCTCACTTCTGCTACTTCTTTTCCTCTTTCTCTCTATTTTTTGACAAATAATGGCTGACCAAATACCATAATCGTTCCTTCTTTGAGCGAGTTCGCCGGTCTTCAAGAGCGGTTTAGTTTCCTCCTTGAACATGGTGTGGACTACCCTTGAAATGGGATATAATTTCCTTTCCGCTAGAGGGGAAAGTTGGAGTCCCTATTTCAATCTTCGAGGCTAGTCTGAGGCTGCCAACGACATACTTTTTGGATGAGGTAATGCATCAATATGGCTTCCGCATGGATGACTTGACACCAAACGATGTCAACAATATTGTTGGTTTCGAACTCTTCTGTCGGACCCTTGGAGTTTTGTCACCGTTTTGGGCATTTAAATCTTTATTAAATTATTCTACTCATTCTGGTACTTAGAATTTTTCCCAAAGGCGGCGTGCTCAAGCCTTTATCATTAATCAAAAAGCTCCAAAGAAGAATTGGTAAGACCGCTGGCTCTGGGTAAGTCGTAACCTTGTCGGTTTTGGCAATCCTCATTTGACTATTTTTTCCAATCGAGCACAAGAACTGTGGGGTGCTAGTGCCATAGTGGCAGAAGCATTGAAGACCATTTGCATCAATGGTGAGGATTGGGAGGATCATATGATGGCTGCTATTGGCATGAGCACTGCTTGGAGGGCTCGGAGGATGATGCCACAGTTCGATGTTATGAAGGACGGTAAGTACCTCCCCTTCCCCCCTTTAGATTGCTGTTTTCTTATGTTTGCTTGTGTGTTTAATGAAATTTTTTATCTTGTTTCTCGTTTGCAGATCACGAGAGGATCCTTCCCTTTGATATGGTGTTGAGGGGCTGCTTTCACGACACCTACCAATACTGGGAAGTGCCTTTGGTTGAGATGCCCCCTCCACCGGTTAGTCCCAACCGTGCCTTCGCACTTGTCGTGCCTCTTGTTGCTTCTCCACCTTGGTCTAATTCTCCCATTGGTCAAATGTTGATTAACGTACCTGTCAGTGGTGTTTCCTATGAGGACCCTTTGCCTTCTGATATGGAAGAGGAGGAGACATTAACCAACCTGACTCAACATAGCACCCGTGCGGCCTCCAAACGATGACTTTCCTGGATGGATTTGTCACTTCCAGTGTCTGATGAGGTTAGCTCCTTAATTTGACGCCTTCTCAAGAGGCAGAACCTGGACTTCTTTTTGGGGGACGCCAATATAGTGGTTGAGATGCCCGATGATGACACTCTGAAACAGTCGAAGGGGATGAGAGAATGGGCGACTGAACTTCCCCATGAACCTAAAGAGGAGCCAGTGGAAATTGCTGCCTCATATGTTATTCGTGAAGGTGTCCCAAACTTACTAATCTAGCTTTTGACTAGGGAGGGTACTGTCGGGACTTTTGCTTCTACTCCTTCGGTAGCGCCAACAATATATGTTCCAGGGTGGGGGATAACCCAGGAATCTTGTCTTTCCCTATACACGACGACATATGATTGGGGTTCCCATGATTTACCCCTTGCTACCATTGAGGCTTTGGAGCTTCTCTTTAACTCACATCTTCCAAACAACCTTTTATATGGAGCTACACAGGTTCATTCATTCATGGTGATGACTGCCTCTCGCCTTCATCTGAGCGATCCTAGTTCCAGTTATCTTGCTTTGATTAAGGCCGAGTGGGATGAACTGAAAGCGAGGTTGCTGGAGTTAGAGGGAGACAAGCAATCATTTGAGGAGCGCTATGATCTTTTGGCAGGGTAAAAAGCATCTTTGGAGGACAAGGTGGCTGCTTCGGATGGGTTGGTGGAACGCTTTACTCAATGTTTCTAGGTTTTAATGGAGGAGAAGAGGGTGTTGGAGAGCCAGGCGTATTGTGTTGATAAGCGGTTTAAAGAGGAGACTGCAAAGAGAAAAGCTGTAGAGGAAGATTTGGGGTGGTTTCTTTAGAAGGGAATTGTCTGGCTGGTGGATAAGGTTGTCGAGAATGCTGAGTTTTCGTTGGGGGTTAAGCAGACGAAAATGGCTTGTGTGCCTCCTGGTGTGGAGAATGGCAAATAGACGATTCGGGAGCAAGTTGCCATCAGAAAGTTTTTCTATGGGTAACCAAATGTTACTGTGGAGCATGATTGGGCGATGCATGTTACTGTGGAATATTTTATGGAGATAGAATTGGCCTCCTACCTTTGCCCAGGTGAGCTGGATATAGGAGGCCTTCGCCAATTGTGTGATGATTCTGACACCGAAGAGGATCAGCCTGAAGGTGGCTCTTCTCACGCTGGAGCTTCCTCCACCCCCCAGTAAGTGATGACTTTTTTCCTTTTTTGTTGTTTGATGTTTAAAATGGTATTTGCATTTGCATGGTGTTTGTTGAACAATGTTTGATTTTCTTCCTTGGCCCTACATGGTCTTTTCCAATTCCTGAGGGGGTTAACTGGGTTAGACAATTTGTTCTTTTTTGGTTTTTGTGTGCTAAGTTTTCTTTTTTAGTTTAACGTATTTCTCCCTTTTTTGTTGTCTTGGATGGTTTATGTTGACCATCCTTAGTTTGGATTCTCCGTAGAGGTTAGTGTTGGCCTTTAGGAGTCTTGGTCAGGGTTAACATTTTCTCGAAAAGTTTTGGGGGCCTAAAGTGTTTGTTTTGATAGACTCGGTGCTCTCCCTCGGGTGTGTCTTTGTGATTAGAGGCTTTAACTAGTCTTTAGGTGTGAACTCTGATTGGTTCGTTCCGTTATGGGGTCCTTCCTAGCTAAAAGCCTTCGTTTTGGGGGTTTGCTCTAAGCCCTGGTTCAAGGGGAGTTGTACTCCGACTCTAGTCATCTAAGCAAGACCGAGATTGTCATCTTGGGGTCTAAGAGCTCATGTATTATACATTTCGAGCGAAAGGTTATGATCCTTTAAGGCCTCTTACTTGTCATGATCAGGAGCTGCGGATGTCGTTGACATGTTTATTAGGGAGAATTGATGAGCACTTGAGGCCTATTATTGTGTTTTTCTCACCGATTTTGTGTTGGGTGGCACATATGATCAGTCCCTCTTCATTTTCCATTTCTACGAAAGTATGTCGATACTTGTTCGTTACAAATTGTCTTTTCATTGCATATCTTTTAGTATCTTGGAGACATGTACATCATTAGATAAGTATTGGGAGTCCAATATTTTTTGCTGTTCTAGGTCTAGCTTTTGGGCTGAGGAGTTGGGGTGTGATTATCTGGTACAAGTTTGATCACTTGGACCCTTCCCTTGGTTCCCCCAAGCTTAGACTACTCTGGTGCTCCCAGCTCATCCGGACGAGTTCTTCTTCATAGTCTTTCTTGGTTTGTGTCTTTCGATGGCTTGTGCCTTGGAGTTCTCCAACATTTGTGTTCGTGTGCAAGCCGTGATTGGCTGTTTCTGTGATGGTCGTCTTTTGGAAGACGATTTCTAATTTCCTCCATTCTACAACTTTGATTGCTCGGTTATCACCCTTGGACGGTTTTACCTCATTCTGTGTGACTTTTTTGTTGCTATATCTGTTTTTGAATGGTTATTGACTAGATGCCATCCTGGGGGGGAAGCCTCTACAAGTTGCAGACTCTTATGATTGTAGTGAGTCTCTTGTCCACGTCTTCTTTTTTAGGGCAGCTGCCTACCCTCACTGCTCTAGCACTGGCAATTCTTTGGTTGTGTTTCTGGTTGAGCTCTGTGACATTGAATGTGTGTTACCTTGTTTCCTCCTTTTCCATGCTATGTGCCCTTGATGCACGAAGACATGTGGGTATGCTATGTGATTTCCAACCTAGCTTGGCTTTCGTGCTGACAATCCTCCATGTGTCCGGAGTGGTAACGTTGTTGCTATCGAGCCCTTCTCCCACGGGATGTTCGTTTGGGGTTGGCATCCTTTCATCCCTTCTTGGGTGTGGGTATTTGTTTGTTTTTCTCTTGACTGTGTGGGTGGTAATTATTCTTTTGCATCGCATTCTTGGGATGTCCATGATAGCTCAAGCGGCGATCGCCCGAAGTGGTTTTGCTTATGTGTTTAAGGCTGTTACTGTTGCTAAGTTGCTGGTTGTTCTGAACTTTATTGTACCATGTAATTTTGATGGGATGACCTATAGCAGAAAGAGGACAGGTAGCCCTAGGATCATATCATCTTCTGACCTATTTTTAACTACCGATAACTCGATTGTCCTTGTTACCCATTCCTTTCCATCGTGGGTGAGTAGTGTCAACGGGAGGCTTATGGTCCCTAGAGGACATAACTTGTGTCATGTGAAGCCAATGAGTGGGGCTCTGGTTGGAGGTTTTAGGTTCCTCTTCTAGGATGGCGGGAGTCATTCAAAATAGTGCTTGTAGAGGATGTCAGTGTTGCTACCTCCATCGACTAGGGCTTGCCAGATCTAATGTTGTTGGAGAAGGTGGGAATTATGATTAGGCCTGTGGGGTCCTAGTCGGGCACTCGTGGGTCCTCCAGTGAGAAAAGTATGTTGGGAGTATCGCCGGCTGATCCATCGATGCCATTAGCTGGCAATTGACACCTGACTCTATTCTTGGGCCTTACAATTGCAAATATTTTCCTCCTTTTTTATTAGTTCTTTATTCGCTTCCCTACAGGTTCTCCCGTCTTTCCGCTCGGCTTTGAACTTTAATCGTAAAGTCTGTCTCCACTCAATTGATTGTCTTCTACTTCTCTTCTGAGGATTGCACACTCTCCAATGTCGTAGGTTTTTCTCTTGTAGTATTCACAATAATTTCTTTTTTCCTTTTCCATTTGCCGAGGGTTTTTTCTACCACGTGCACTTCCAACTCATGGATCCTTGGCTCATCTTTAATGAATGGGCAGAATCTTCAAGATGAGTATCTTGAATGTCTGCTATGTTTATCATGGCTTCCATCGTTGCGCTCCTTGTGGCTATAGCAGCAGTGGGAGTCAGCTGATTCTTGTTTGAGGTAGGCGTTCACTAGAACTTTTAGATTGGCTTGTTTGCATTCTTCTCGCTTGATATGCTTGAGGTATTTTTTTGACCCTATATTTGAGTTTATCCCTCGATTTTGGCATTGTTCCTTGCATTTTTCTTGACAGGGGTTCTGGGAGTAGCTCCTGTGGGAAGGTGCCCGTGACTAGAAATTCCTAGTGACCGGGGACACTCAGTATCACGAGGGTAAACCGTTCATAGTATGCTCGAATGAATTATCCCTCTTTTTTCTTGCATGCCATGATAAAGTTGGAATCTCCTTTGACTTTACTCAACTACATGAAGTTGTAGAGGAAAAGATACCTCAATTTTTCAAAGCTGGAGATGCTTCCCTGACGTAGTGCGTTGAACCATTTGCTAGCTTTTCCTGATAGCGAGACCAAGAAGTAGAGGAAAAGACTGGTTTACCCTCGCGACCCTGAGCATACTATGACCAGTTTACCCTCGCGGCCCTGAGCATACTTGTCCATCTGGAGGGATGTCATTGTTCACTCGTAGGTGTTTTTGTGTTCGTCAGGATCTATCATGCCGTTGTACTTTGGTATGTTTGGGATCATGGCTGAATGTGGTATTTCCTACTGTAATAGCTTTTGCCAAAACGCCAAGCTAATACTTGTTACAGGGCTGTTCATGTGTGGGTAGTTGGGTGCTCCACCGACCATCGCCTCGTGTATGTGGTATGGATGGTTGTACCCTTGTCCATACTCGTAATGATACCCGTGGTTGTACATGGCCGCTTGAGGCATATACGATGCCTGTGTGGAGTATGCGTGCATCGGCGGATTCGGCTGCGAACTTGACTTCATTGGACCTGTAGTGAGTGATTTCATCCCTTGTGTTGGTGTGCCTTGAATGTTGTGGGTTTGTGGTTACGTTTGAGGGTACACGCCTTGGTAGTAGTATGAATACGAGTTGGATAGTGGTTGTTGTGCAAATAGCAATATATACGATATGGTGCTCATCGGGGAAGACTGATGACCTGCAGGTTGTGCAGCTTATAGAATGGTGCCAGGGGACCAGGCGTTGGTCCACACTTGTCGCATCGATGCTTGTGGTTGATTTGTTGTTTGTGGTGATTGGGTGGTCCTTGCTCCTTCAGGTGCTGTGGTGGTAGTCGTGGTTGGATGTTCCGTTGAGATGGGCAACGGTTGCCATAGACTAGTGATGAACTCCGTTGCGGGGTCGAATGGCTTCGTTACCAGCATTTGCGTGAGCGGCTACCCTTCCGGTGTTGATGGACAACTTCCATCTAGGAACTGCATTGGTCTAACCTAGCTAGTGTCGTCACCTTCCTGCCGTATCGATCCTTTATCTATCATTTCCAGCGCTTGATGTTGTGAAGTTGGTTATGTCATACTGGGTGCACATCTGGATGACACCAACTGTTGTGATATGTCTTCGGATTAACTCCATATCTTTGAGGGATAGAAATGAAGGGCCTAAGAATCACAGAAAAGAAAACAAGATCGTCAGTTATCATCCGGGAGGCAGTCCCGGAACGAGGCTCGGACGATCAAGTTAGTTGGTCTCTTAGAGAGAAGGTGAAAATGTGTTAGGTAAGAGTTTAAGGGTGGAGTTTGTCACATCCCTTCTACTGGAGGAGAGGGGACCTTTTTATACCTACGGTCAAGGGGACAAATCCCCGACAGTATCTTTTACCTTTTCAGGTTTGGTCGAGATAGATGACCTTCGATTGGTAGATCATGCTCTGCAAGTGGTTGTTTGCTATTGGTGAAGGTTTGCCAGGAGTAGAGCCCCGAGCGCTACACCTGTCGCTCTGGGAGGAAATTGGTACTATTTTGTCTTGACGCTGACCTTGGCGCTTGGGCGCCAAGGAACGAATGCGAGATCGTGAAGGCGAGGGTGAGGATGCGATGTTAGGCATACGTCGTCCTTTGCCCAAACCATCTATCAGACTGAAGGTCATGTTATGTTTGACATATTCCTAGTGGATACGTTATATGTTATTGTCTTAACACTATTGGAATTGATCAAGAAGGCATAAGCGGAGGCGATGAAGACGGAAAATTGGAAGGAAGAGAGGATTAGATTATAGATTGCATTATTTAGTAGTGATGGTCACGGGTTATTTACTTAGTGTGTCAGGGTTTGGGTTACGATTGTTGGCAGGGTTAGGTATACATTAATGGAAGAGGAAAATAATTCGAGGTTTTCGATACATCCGAGATCCACGAAGATGTACAAAGACTTGAGGTTGGATCATTTATATCCCTGTATGAAGAAGGAGGTATCTTGGTTTGTGGAATTGTTTTTGACTTGCCGCAATGTCAAGGCCGAACATAAAAGACCCCATGGCAAGATGTACCCGTTACCTATTCCCATGTGGAAATGGGAAGAGATCACCATGGATTTAATCACAAAGTTGACAAGGAAGACACATGGGGGTTGATTCTATTACAGTCATCGTGGATAGATTAACCAAGAGTGTTCATTCCATACCTATTGCCAAGAGCATTTCCACATAAGAAATTGGCTGACATCTACATAAGGGAGGTGGTGGCTCGGCACATGTTGCTAGTTTCAGTGGTTTTAGATCGAGATGTCCACTTTACCTCTAGGTTTTGGAGGAAATTTCATGAGGAGTTGGGTACCCAGTTGCATTTCAGTACAACATACCACCCCAAACCTATGGACAGAGTGAATGGACGATTCAAACACTCCAAGATACACTCAGGACGTGTGTGCCAGATTTTGGTGGGAGTTGGGATACTTATCTTCCATTGGTCGAGTTCTTATACAATAATAGCTACCATACCAATATTGATTGACCACCATTCAAGATGCTTTATGGGAGGAGATGTCGAACCCTAGTTTACTGGGGTGAGGTCAGAAACCGAGTTAGGAGGAGTACTAAGGTACTACTCAAGACTACCTAGTTGATTCAGCAGGTGCACGATCGACTGCGAACTGCACAGAGTTTCCAGAAGAGCTATGATGACCGACGATAATCGGGCGTCGGGTTCTAGGTAGGAGATCTGGTGCTTTTGAAGGTGTCACATTAGAAAGGTATCATTTGATTCCTGAAGGGGGGCAAGTTAGGCCCCCAGTTTATTGGACCCTTTATTATTATTTCCTAGGTGGTTAAGGTTGCATATCGGTTAGACCTACAGGATGGGCTCAATCAAATCCACAACACTTTCCATGTCTCCAATTGAGGAAGTGTCTAGCGGATAACTCAATAGTGGTTCCCTTGGATGAGATTTTAGTTGATGGGCTATTGAACTACGTAGAGAAACGGATTGCGATTCTCGATAGAAAGACAAAGTCCTTACGCAACAAAGTGGTGAAGGTGGTGAAAGTGCAAAGGTAGCATCAGAAGGGTTCATATTGGATGTGGGAGCATGAGAAAGAGATGAGGGGGCATTACCCAGACTTATGTACAACAACGAAGTTCAGGGATAAAGTATGATTAACGTGCGGGAGATTTGTAACACCTAGTTCCCATGTACATGTCCTTAAATTAATTGAGTTTATTTATTTTGTAAATATTGGTAGTACGCGGGGCGTAGTTAGATGCGTTATGCAGGTCGTAAATCGTTAACTTGGATGCGATACTTAATGCAGTATGAATGGCATACCCAGGTTACACAGGGCATAGCTGCGTAGGGTGTAAACCTTAATTTTGGAGCCTGGGACCCTATTTAAGGAACTTAATGTCTTTCAGGCCCTTCTTACCACCAGCCTTCATTACCTCCATAAGTCTTCTCGAAACCCTACCCCTATTTGTGAGAGTTTTAGGACTTAGTGTGTTTTTGTGTGTTTTTAGTGAATATGAGAACCTTGTAGGTGTACTTGGAGTCCATAGCTAGTAGATCCATACTCTACTCGTCTTCAACATCTTCTAGAAGATACAAAGTCTAAACCTTGCTGATGCTTTTGTGAGATCTAGCTTGTGGTGATTTTGTATGAGTTTTTGTCCCTTAATCTAGGATCTAGGGAATTTGAACAACTCTAGAGCTCATAAGGAGTGCCTGTAATCATTTTTTATCTCAGTGAACCATAATAATAGGATCTTGTTAGATTAGGTGTCTAAGCCCTTAACTAGAATTACTATGTACTTGACCTGATAGTAGCATGGTCCATTTGGGTTGCATTTACCACAGCAATTTGATAGGAAGGATATTTGAGAAAGAGATTATTTGTGATTCATTAATAAATTATAAGAATAATATATTAATTGAGAAATCATATTATTTAATTGGTATTGGTCAACAATTAATTTGGAATTAATTTAGTGATCAAAAGAGACTGATTAAATTAACGAGAACTGATTAAGTAAATCAGTAATACATATAGTTTGGGCTAATAATCCATGTTGATTAAGATGGACTAATTTTATGTGGGAGTCCATAAAGAGTTAATCCAAAGCGCTTATCATATAGATTATTGCACTAAAGGCCCAAGGAAGTGAATTAGGGTTTACAAGTGAACCCCTAGGAATTCCATACTATAAATGTAAGCCCTAGCATCACCAAAAACAATCCTAAGAGTTCCAAGAAAAACCGTAGCCGTTTTTGGTGCCTCCTAGCCTCACTCTGATTATCCTCAATTTGTTCTTGGTGTTTTGTGAAACATTTGAGGCATCACATTTGAGGTGCTAAGCTCTTGTAAGGCAAAGTTCTACAAGCTACATCTAAGATGTAATCATCTAACTCATTTTTATGTTTCAAATATCAATGTTTTATGCTAGTTAGGCTTCATGCTTTGGAAAATGAAAATTGCATGTATAACTAGAGAAAACTTAGATACAAAGCATTAGGGTTGTATGTGCACCATAGACATATTATAGTGCTTAAAACCCATCAGTGGTATTAGATCCTAGGGTGTTTTCTGTTATATTGATGCAATTGTTTGATTTTCAAAGCTGAAAAAATGTCATTGTTGGCCACTGACTGCTAGAGTCGTCGATTCCCATAAGGGAACTCAACGAGTTGGATCATATGTGATGAACTCATCAAGTTCATGCCATGAACTCAATGAGTAGGATCTCCTGTTTATAGATATTTAAGTTTTTTTTTGGCCTGTTTTGGATTATGATCTTTACCACAAACTGTTTTGATTGATAAAATTCGAATTTTCTTATAAGGTAATGGTTATCCTCATCTAATTGAATGATGATTGTCATATTTTAAGATAAATACTTAATTTTATAAAAATGTTAATTATTTTTGTAGAATTTGATTTGAATCATTTTGCTATGTGAAATTAGATTAAGTCAATTTTGTGATATAATTAATTATACGATTAATTTAATTGTTATCAAATTAATCCAAGAGAGTTTTGAAAGGTTTCAAAACTTTCCCTCAAGTTATGGAATTCAAAAGGTTTTGAAGAGTTTCAAAACTTGCTCTAAAGTTTTGGATCTTGAAAAGTCTCATTTATGAAACATTAAATTTCAAAAAAACCCTAGTAATTTGAAAAGGGTCAAAAAAAGAAAAAATAAAATTGCACCTCTTGGTCTTGTAACTTGAAATTTAATTAAATGGCCTTAATTTTGAAATCTTAAAGTTAGAACCTTAATATTTTGAATAGTACAAATTACACCCTTATGGTTTTATTAAATTAATTAAGTGTTTAATTAAAAGAGACAATTAATAAATCCATAATGACATGGTTTAAGTTTAATAAAATAAAAGTGTAATTTATTTGAAAGATTAAACCTCCTAGTATTTTAAAGGTTTAAAATACACCCTTATACTATATAAAATTAAAAGTCTAATATATTATATATGTATAAGTTAAAAGTCAGTCTTACCATTAGTAGGCCTCATTCACCGAGCTGGTGTATAAGGGAGGTATAAGGAAATTACCTATAAAATGATGATTAAATGGGTATCCACTCTCACCCGTCGCTTCCTTGACTAGTGGAGGGTCGTTAGCCGATCGGGTAGGATAGGACACTCAGCTCTCATTAAAAGTATAATGAAAATATAAAGTAACTAAACCTGTAATAAATTCCCAATCTTAGTTACTTTAGGAAAAAAATTAAATTTGATGCTAACCCATGAAATTACACATTGCACCTTATTGCTTGTTAGTGGAGCACGTGTAGTTAACCGACACACTAATAAGGGAATAATGAAGGTTGACAATGGGTAGCTCGTAGTTTTTCATAGATCAATAGAGCGTGTGTGGTTAACCGACACATTGATTAGGTGATAAATGACTACGAGAGTACCAAACTAATTTTCATGGTTATTCACACCTTGTTTGTGATCCTCGGTATCTTAGTCACAAACTTGAAGGCATAATCG